TCTTACATAAGTTGGAAGTCAAAGGACAATTGCTGTTAGGACAATGATTAAGCCATCATCTCTATAAATTACAACTTGATTGTGGTTATTCTACTTAATGTGTTTAAAATATATATGCCCACTAAATCTGCAATTTTGGCTGAGTCAAATGCCCAGGTACATCAAAACTTTCATTATTCTTTTTCACCCAAGTAGCATCATTATATGTTAGTATTAATCTTGATGCTAAAACAATGTCCAGATCATTTTTCATAATTTTTGTAGGACTTTTTGCAAAATTAAGGCTATTAATTAATAGTTCCTCCGAAACAGAAGGGTAGAAATACTATATATATATATATATATATATCCTCACTGTGGTTTTGGATCAGACAAAGTTAAGCTTAGCATATACATATGCATGTGTTCACACATACACATAACATTTTTCAATGAAAGATACATATTTTTGTCGGAATTTTGGGGATGAGGAGTTATCATTATTTACATTCAGATGAATGTTCTCATCTTTGTTATTATTATCACAACAACATAGATGTGGATATAAGTCTAAATGTAAATAAAGATATATATGCGCAAAAAGAATATATATATATATATATATATATATATATATATATATATATATATATATATATATATTGAATTCAGTTATAAATGACTTCTGATGCCAACATGATATAGACAATACATCAGAGCATTTTTTTTTCATGGTATGGAATATTATAAGGTCAATCTCATTCAAAGCCACAATCTGACCAAAGAATTTAATGTCCAAAAGTATTTTAATAAAAAACAATACAACAAAAATGAAGTAAAATATATGTGGAATAATGAAAACATTTAATCTGAGGACCTAATTGAACTTCAAGTATTTACAGGTTTCTTTTCATAATTACATTTATCATAACAATACTTACCAGTTTTGTTCAGTAAGTCTACCAGGTACAATTTCCGTGTGCTGCACAGGAGGTGGAGGTGGTTGTACCACCTTGGTCCTATCAGCTTTTTGCTTGAACATTAAGAAGGAATGGCAGTGAAAAGAGACATCAACAGATTGATGTTTGTGAGACTGAAAAAAGATGTTAGAAACATAAAAGCTTGTCTAAAATATAATGTGTCCATTATATACTTTGGGGATTTCTTCTTTCTTTTTTTTGTTTTACTATTTACAACCTTTTGCTGATAAATCCCTAGATTACCTGGTCTTTAAAAGTAGTTTTTTTGGCAGATAAAAAGATTTAAGGATTTTAATTAAAATAGAAACAATTGATCTTGCACAGAATTGCTATAGTGGGGCACGCAGTTGGTAATGTTTTGCAAAATTAGTTTATTGCTCTATAGCAAACACGACACTCAAAGAAGAATCCTTAATCGCAGTTGATGAAATAGGTTTATAAACGCAAAAATAGTGAAGAATATTATTAATATAAATTTTTTTAAAAAAAAACGGAATCACAAAGCTTTAAGAAATTCTAATGGTAAAAAAAAATAATTTGTCAAATAGTATTTTGTTTCTTTTAATTTTTACAGAAAAAATAATTTTAATTTACCTTCCAAGCTGTAAAGAAATTTTTTAAATAGAAAAAATGATAAAATAAGAAATAAAACTTTAAAAATGAAAATATTTATTAAAACATTTTAAAATAAATATAAAAACAAAATAAAAAATAGATAGAGAGAACAAAAGCAGAAAGCATCAATAAAAAAAAAAACAAAATATAAATAAATCGACCCACAGGTTCTCCAGGGTGGGCAAACGCAAAACTAAACAAACAGTAGTAGAGTAACACTGTAAGTGTACTGTAACATATTTTATTTTCTGAAATTTTCTATATCAATGTATCTCAAGGAATATATCTTTTTAACGCTGTTAATGTTAATTATATTATAATTATAAACATCACGAATGAACAACAGCAAAATTTTTCAGTTAAGTCTTAAAGATCAACTGCAAAAAAAATCCTAATTTAGTGCTAACACTTACACCTTGCTCTTCCCATCAACCCCAACCTAAAAAAGGAAGAAAAAATATTTTAATGTGTATTAAAGTTTTTAAAAATCTCAAGAATCAACGCCACTTACAAAAAATATCGGGACTGATTATTGTTTTGTCGAAAAATCGTCATTGAATTGTTATGAAGACAACAAGTGCTTATTATTATTTTCAATGAGACAAACCTTAACATTAAACTTGCCAACCAAAGCGTTTACCTTTACACTAATCCTGCATAAAATATCACTATGGTAACACGTTTAAGAACTTCATGGCAATAAATTCTTGACGAGAAAAAAATAAAGAAAGCGTTTAAGGAATATAAAATGCTAAAAAAATGATTGTTTCTTTACAAGATGTTTTTCTTTCGTTTCCTTTTTATAATTTATCTTTTTCTTTTTTTTTTTTTTGCAAGCATTCAGTCCGTACCATAACAACGGAATCACAACAGGAAGGTAACTTTAAAAAATACAACTTTCTCTTTTCTTGTCGCACAAATTTCAAGTAAGAGATACCGTTTTTTTAAATATTTGATTACATTGACTTTTTAGAGTTTTTAAAAATTTGGAAATAAGTAATTTTAAGACATCAAAAGTTTGAAAACGAAATATTTAAAATTTTTTTCATTTACAAGCAACAAGTTCTTCGCTTGCAAAAAATAATTTTATTTTACATTTACTTTTACTTCTATTATTTTTTTTACATTTTATGAAAACTGCTTTTTAGTTTATTTAAATTAAATAATCTGTCTATTACTCAATTTTAGCAAACATTTTGTCAGTATTTTATTATTTTCTTGACATCTAACCTTTCCAAAAATAGTTCTGTAATTTAATATACAAAATTTGTTTCTATATTTCGGGTGAAAATCTTTTTTTATTTGGTTAGTTTTAGTCCGTAGTGCTGTTAAATTAAAAATTTTGCTTAATGAAATTACCAAAATTTAGGCAGATATTTGAATACTTATTGTTTAAAAATATCATAGTCTAGTGAAAATGCAGAGTCGGACTAACTAAAAAAATTATTAGGCATAACTTTTTTACTTTTTTTTTTTTTACACTACTTACAGCTTTGTTTTTTTTTTGCATTATTTAATTGAATTTAATTGGTTTAAAAATTTTTTTTTACTCATACCGTCAATAATGATCTTCGTTTAGTCACCAAAATCATAATACGTTTTTATTTCGAAATGAAAACAAAAAATGAAAATAACTACCCCACCTGTTTTAAAATATTTGCGAAAAATCAAAGATTTTCAGTACTTATTCAGTAAAGAATGAGTTGTAAAGTGAGTTTTATTATTTTATTTTAAAGCCTTAAAGTTGGTGCTTGAATATAAATCTTTATAGCGGTTCTATGTTTTCACCTATACATACACGCCAAGTCATTTTATTCGCCTACGATTGGTTAATGACTGCTACCTTTGATAGGACAATTTAGCCATCGCAGTCATTTCAGCTTTGAATGTTTTGGTTCTGAGCATACTTACCTATTCTGTTTAGTACGAGTGTAGTGATTAGTTAATTTTTAACCAATCACATATTTTTAATGTAAGATCAAGTTTTGCCACGGTTCCGTGGGAGCCTACCTTTTTCCATTAAAAGGGGCGACTTTTCGCAAGTCACCAGTAAGATCCAAGCTGTCAACACAAATCCATGATCTTGCTCAATGCACACACACAGACACAGAATTTTGTAACTACAAACTTTTATTTTCTCTCTGTAACTTTCACCAAACAAAATTTACCAGAACATTGTTGATTCAAAATCAATTGTATTTCTTTGTGTTATTCATTCTTCACATGCAAACTTTGCTCTCACAACTATTTCGGAACATTTATCTCACAAGAGAACTTTCTTCAAACAGTTGATTACAATCAATCTACAGTTAAAGGGAAAGAACTTCCTTCTCTTTAATCTACATTGTGAATACAAAATTATTTCATGCTTCTTGTTGTAATTTATTCAATATATATTTGTTGGTTAACAAATTGGAGTTGTTGTTATTATTACTTGAATCCTGTATGTGGAAGTATCATTAATATAAACACTGAGCTGCCACACCTTCTTCAAATGAGACAGAAAAATCTACACTTTTTTTTTTTTAATTTACATTATTTTGGAATTCATCCAGTTTCTATTCGTAACAAGAATTTTTTAAATTAAAGAATTGTTTGAAGAATCGAAAAATATAAACTTTAAAAAATGCTATTTTTGAGTGTGAACCTTTTTAAAGGAATGTATTTATTTATTTTTTTAGCAATTAGATTTTTGTTTTTTTGTATGGATGTTCAGAAAAGGAAATGATTCTAAATTACTGACTTTGATTGAATACTCTTCCCTATCGGAAAAGTAATATTTAATTAAATTATGAATAATTAACAAGACCATATTAAGTACAATTAAATATTTTATGACATCAACAGTTACGAAAATAAAAAAATAAAAGTAAATGTATTAAACTCACAAGTATCATTCATCATTTAAATGCAAAAAAAACAAAAACAAAATCTACTTCTAATGTAGTATAAAAAAATAACATTATTAAATTCTACAAAGTCTCATAAAATCGCATAGAATAAAAAAAATTCTAAAGGTTAAAGAAAGATTATTTAAAGCAGACCAAAAATTTCAGATTTATTTGTTGTTCCGTGTTCATCATTTGTTCATCAGTCCTCATAGCTGAAGTACCTCAAAAAGATGTGTAAACAAAAGCATGTGAAGAAAAAATGCAATGTTTAGACAGATCAACCAGCCACCCATTAACTATACCTTTTGCACAAAATAGCCGGCTATTTTTTGGAGAGTTACTATTTATTTATCATTTTACTTTGTCAGTTTTCATTGGCTCTTTTTTCTTTATTTTTCATTTTCTGAATCTCCTTTAGGGAGGGGGCAGACAGAACATGACCTTGATGCTCTTCAGATTTATTTAATTAAAAAGAAAACAAAGAAATAGTCTACTTAACTGTGTTAGTCTAGGTAAAACCAACTTTGAATTTAGACAGCAGTCCTTTGAAGTCAAATAAAAAAAATTACTATTCTTTAACAAAACAAAAAGGTAATAAACAACATTGAACTACCAAGATTTAGATATATACTGACAAGTTGTCTTTCTGTCACATTTTTATCTTCCAAAAGTGACTCCAGAGATGGTTTTCTAAAAATGGACAATTGTGTACACTCATTAATCTAAAAATGCAATCTGCATTTTTCTAATTGAAATATGAACAGTCAGTCATAATTTCTTAACCTGTAAAAATATAAAATTTTTGATTGATTCATGTTTTCATTGAAAAAGTGGATATTATTGATTTTAAATGTTCTGAACAATTTTTGAATAATAAATACTTTACTTAGACACATATTCTGAGCACTTCTTTGGAGTTGAAAAGCCATATATCTAAAACAATACAAAAAATAACCTAAAAATGCAATATAATTCATTTCAACAATTTTTTCTGTAAGTAAAAAATGAAATTTAAGCTCACAGAAGTATGAAAAAATGTTCTTATTTTTTACTTTTGGTAACATTATCCTTCCACATCTATTCCTCATATAGGATGAGAATAATTCTTGGCTTTTTATGCTGTTTTTCTGTTTTATTTTCTTAGTTCCAAACAATTTCAGCCAACCAAGGTTTTAGTATGTGAGTTAAAGGAAATCAATGTTTGGTATGCAGAAATTGTTTGAAGCATTTAACAATACTGAAATCATCAATACCTGAAAATGCAATGAATAATCTAAGTTTGTTTTTCTTTCGTTTTCAATATTGATAAATTCAAGAAAATAGTGGAAAGCTTAGTGCATTAGAAATAATACTGTTTTGAAACAGTTTTAATTCCTAATTTTCATTTCAATTATTGTATTAGTTTATTAGGCAAGAAAATGTAGGTCATTCTTACTGGCAATGTAATGTCAGCTGCTCTACTAATTAACTTCTGTGGGATATGCATTCAATGACTTATAGACAATAATACAACACTCAAGTGGTTTACCAACCAATGAGCACATAATCTGGAAGGCTGTTTTGAACCAGCCAAATTTGGAGAAGCTTAGAAAATGAGAAATTAGGGCTTTTAATAATAGATCAAGCTAACCCCAGCCATACTATGCTAGGATACCTCAATATAAACAGGCTGATTCTATCCTTGAGGGTAGTTGGGATGACAGTGTAGACAGCCATTGCATTATGGTTGCTAAGGAAGACACTGCAAGTTGTCATTACCTCCACTCTTCACCACCTACTCTACTATCCCTTGCATGATAACTGCCCCAAAAAGTTAATAGACTGAAGAAATTTGCATGAGACTAACAAGTTTTTGTTTACAGATTAGTGATCAAGTGGAAGACCAAGTTTTGAAGATCAACATTGTCTGTGTTGTAAACTATAATTAGTTAAAAGTATTAAACTACTATTTCTCTAGTAATTTTGTCTTCAAGGGTAGGATTGGCATCCCGCTGTATCAACTGCTATTTATCTGGTAGAGATTTGCATATGACTACAACACTCTCTCCCATCTCTCACATTTTTTTCTTTTTGACAATGTAAATTTGGAATACTTTATTTTGGCAGAAGAAGAAAAGGAATACGCTTAAAAAAAAAACTTAATCAAATTAATTAAATTTTTTTTAGTGTTTGAATCTTGCCAAGTTTGTGTCATGTGTTCTTTCATTAATACCACAAATGGTCATATCATCTATATACACAAATGTTCCCTTAGGTCTTTCTTTGCAATTAATTTATCCAAAATTCTTTGAAACCTAGCCACTCCATTTGTGATCCCAAATGGCATCCTTTTAAAATTATACAATTTACCACTGGCTCCAAAAGCTATGTAAGGGCAGTTTGTTTTACATAGGGGAACTTGATAATAGGCACTTTTTAGGTCTAGTTTAGAGTACAGACTTTACTTTGTTATTTCTGAAACTGTCATTGTAATTTTAGGTAAAGAATAGGCATCTTTTAAGATAAAATGATTTATCATTTATGAATAAAATCTATGACTAACCTTTTTTTTTTCATTTCTTGTCCTTAGTTACAACTACTTATGCTCTCCACTGAAATCTACATCTAACAGGCTTTTTATTTCCTTCCTTATAAACGCCTCCTCTTCTCTAAAATATCTTTAGGATTTCACAGATATAAGTCTACAGTTAGGCAACATATTTTTAAATAGAAGAGGAGGAGGTGAAATCGTCATGCTAGCTAGTCCACACAGCTTTAGAGATGGTCTGTTGCCTTCTCATAAAATTTCTATTTTTTTGTGCAGGCCTTGGAAGTCTTGTCCGAGAATCATATCAGTACATAGATTATTCATTGAGGATAATTTAATCTTTTGTGAATTTTTGTTTTCACCATAAGATTCGCTTTACATTTTTCTACAGTTTTCAATAACTAGTCAGAAGAATCCATGCTGACGGTAGAGATAACAGGTCTAACATCTAACCCCATAGACTGAGCTATCTTGGTTTTCAATAAAACTAGGACTACTTCCTGAATCT